GAAAAGTTGGGAAGAATTCGGAAACAAGATGAAAACCCTAAAGAATTTAAGAACCGAAAAGGTCAAACACCACAAACACAAAGCAAATAACAAACAAAGAACGACACTTACTGGATGACAATGACCACATCTTAAATAGATGGAACCAATATTTCGAGGATCTACTGAATATCCAAAACGATGTAGACATTATCACAGAAGAACCAGAAGAGATAGAGCAAGAAGACCAAATTCAAGACGAAAATAACTATAGCGGAAATAAAAGAAATCATACAAAAGCTTAAGAAAGGTAAGGCGTATAGATTTGATAAAATCACAGGAGAAATGCTTAAAAACATTGGCGAAAAGGACATTGAACTGCTAACAAAAGTATGTAACAGAGCATTAAATGGGGGTCAAATACCAAAATATTGGGAAGTGAGAGTTATCCTAACCATTTTCAAAAAGGGAGACAGACGCGAATGAAGTAACTACAGAGGAATAACATTACTGAGCATCCATCCAAAGTATATGGGAGAATACTAGAAAAACATTTTTTACAAGAAGTTCATTCCAAAATGGAACAATCACAGAGTGGATTTAGAAAAGGCAGAAGCATCCAAGATTACATTTTTACTACTAAGAAACTAATACAATTTTAGCTTTACAAGAGCTTTAACAATTGTGCAAATTTACTGTATATAATGATATATCATGCTGCTCTACTTCATGTCTGTTTTTGTAAACCAAACCATCGAACACAAGTTAAATATTTATCCTACATTACTTTTAACTTTTTAGGTCTGGCTACAAACCCTTTTCACTTTACCATTTCACAAAAAATAAATGAGCATTCCCTGTTCGTCAAGCTTATCGAAGTTTGAATTTAACTTTTCCCGGAAAGTGTACGGGTTTAAAATGCCCGAAAATACTCGAGAACAAAACGCTTCTCTCGAATACAGACTTTTAGAAAGAAGTTAGCGAAACACCTAATACAGCTACCAAAAACAATGAAGTTTAATTCGCGTTCGCTTGTCGAAGAATTATTTAGAGTTGGCCCTACAACAAGGAGAAAATTAAGTATTTAAACAAACGGTTAGGTAAACAATGAAACGGACCAAAAGTAAACAAAACAAGTATAAACATCCAAGAATTGGGGCGATCCGGTGTCTTTGGTCGGAAACAGGGTTAATTTCATGCCTTTAACATAAATGGGACTCACGTACAACGAATAATTTCTGGTAAAATATTTTTGGTTTTAAAACTTTTATAAAACACAAAAAGTTTTATACATATTTTATTTAATTGATTTTGCCATGATATTGCAGATTAAATAAAAGCAAATTATGTATTACATCCATGCATAATAGAGGAAAAGAGGAAAATTCGGACCCCAATTGGTTTTTAAGTAATAACATTCATACTAAAGTAGTTTGAATTCCAAAAGAACTAAACTAACATTATCTAGGAATAACCTTTCTTAGGTTGAAACATTATAAAAATATATATTATATGATCTGTTACTTTTGCAAAAGTTTACAAAATAGGCCCTTTTACAAAAAAGTGCTGTTAATTCGACCTTTTTTCCTCGTATTTCGTACCCTCTAGAAATATAATGGATTATGGTTACTGTAGAAATAATTCACAGTTATTATAAATAAACAGATATTTTTTCTCAGATAATGTACTTACAATTAAAAATTCTACTAATTTCATGAATCATATCTTATTGTTAATACATTATGAACATGTAATAAACCCTAATGGTACCAGTTCCTCATCTTAAATAATGTAAACAGACGTATTACAACTGAATGAGAGATCGGGAGTAAATATTCGTTTTCTTTACATAATGCAAAACTGTAGCATCATTATTATAATATGTTTATTTCACTTTTCACAAATTCACTTAAATACAGCCAAAATATCGAAAAACAACTTTTCCTGCATCTACTGTAAAAAGTAAACAAAATGCATTTGAATGACGTAGGCCATAAGACAGAGAAATGGAAACACCGTTGCCATTTATAATAGTTTTCAGTGCTTCTACATATAAAATAATTGATTTATATCTATTATACGCTATTATTAATGATAATGCACACTATGTGCACACTTGATATTTAGATTACAATTAAATATATTAATCTAACCAATAAATTATTATTTTGGTTTGATAGCATCTGTAGAGTATAAAATACGGAGTATATTTTCTGCCGAATAAGAAATTTTTTAAAAAATCTGAGACTTGAAGTGCTGAATGTGACCTATTCAAATAATTTTGACTTACAATTTTATGTAAATAACTGAGTCCATCTGTGTTTATATACGTGCTTAGTTCCAATTTTAAATCGTAAATGGTTGCAAGATTGATGTAACATCTGCATTTCTTTCTCTCTACCTGCATGATCTAAAAATATTAGAAGACTTGACGTTGACCTTTTATTAATTTCACATACTAGCCTCCTTTGGAATAGGTACTTCATACCATATCAAGCTTCAATGATATTATGGTACCTGCAAACATCGTTTAATTTCAAAATAGTTTTTGCATAAGATGCTTTTCAATCCTAAAGAGGATTTTTATTCACAGCCATATCGATTTTTTTTACAAAAATATTTTTTTTGTTTTTTCATTATTAAAATCCATATGGAATCTCAAGATTTCTTTTTTTTTTCAAAATGCTTTCGCACCGCTTGTTTTCATCACCTGACACAACTTTTAAACGATAGCCACAAGAATTTTTATTTTCTGTTATTTTTTTGACTTACTGTTGATTATTTCTGCTTCTTCTTCTTTGAGTGTCTCTCCTATCGGAGATTGGATATCATTATGGCGATTCTAATTTTATTTACTGCTGTTTTGAATAATTCGTTAGTGGTACAGCCAAACCACTCTCTTAAATTTCTCATCCAGGACATTCTTCTACGGCCTGGATTTCTGCGTCCTTGGATTTTTCCTTGCATTATATTTTGTAGGAATATGTACTCTTGTCCTCTCATCAGGTGGCCTAAGTATTCAAGTTTTCTCTTTTTTATATTCAGGTTAACTTCTGGATCGTTATTTATTCCACGTATTACCTCTTCATTTGTAATTTTATCTACCCAACTTATTTTTAGTATACGGCTGTAGCACCACATCTCAAAGCTTTCAAGATTTTTAACATTCCCTGTTTAAGAGTCCATGCCTCAACACCGTCAAGCAAAGTACTGAATACATAGCATTTTTAGATTTTAGTTCGTAGATGAATACAAATATTACGATTACAAAATTTTTTTCATTTTTATAAAGTTAGATCTGGTAATTTTAATACGTCTTTTTATCTCGTGATTTTGGTCACTGTTTCATTAATAAGGGTTCCCAAGTATTTGTATTCGCTTACTTTTTTAAGTTGGGTACCGTTTATTGCGATACTAGTGTTCTGTATTGGATTTGGAGGGATGCCGGTTTTCAACATCCCTTCCATGGAGAGTCTTGTATGCCAACAGTGTCTCTTTCAGCGGTTTTGTACTTGCTGTAAGTCCAATTAGTCCGCTAGCCTTCGACAGCTCAGTAAAGAAACTTAAATGGACTTTTAAAGGTGCTTTGATCTGGCCTGTTGAATTGATATAGAGTGAAATAAAACAATTGCTTGTTTAGCGAGAAACTGTAATTGAAAAAAGGGCAAGAAATAGAACTTATAAACTGTGAGTGTATAACTTATCGTAGGAACTTAATTTGAAAATTACAATTTACGCACTTTCCCGAAAACACCATAACACTATTCACATTTTACGGCTTCCCGGCTTATTGCGTAACTTGCAACGTGGAGAAAGACTCTCCGAACTTTTAAATATAGGTGTAAGCCCTACGAATGTCGCTAATTCACTGTCTGTCTCGACCCCTAGCCCCGCTGAAAAATATTTTGTTTATGCATTTTGAATAGCCGGTCTAGGGTCAAGTAGGCGCCATGGGCGGAGACTAACATTCCCAGAAACAAGTCTATGCAGACTGGATTTATTTAGGTAACTGGCGCGAAAATATTTATTTGTTACGAAATAGAATTATTTGTTTTTATATATATTTGTTTGGATATATAATTATTTGTTTGGAGATTATAGTTCTCCAACAGGATTCTTACTAAAGGTTATATATTTCGTTTTTTTGACGTTCATTCTTAGGCCGTAGGTATTAAATATCTCATTCATACTTTCATCTAGATGTTGTAGATCTTCCGCTGTTCTTGCTATTATCACAGTATCGTCAGCATATCGAATGATATTGATAACTTCTCCATTGACTATTATCTTCTCGTTTGCATGTGAGAGAGCTTTTGGTATATTTGTTCGCCGTAGATATTAAACAAGAGCGGTGACAATATACAACCCTGTCGTACTCCTCTACGTAGTTCTATTTCGTCCGATGTTTGGTCTTCTATTTTTATAATATTATCTCGCTGATTCCAGTATAGATTTAATATTATTTGTATGTCTCTGGTGTTGATGTTCTTACCCTCCAGGATTTCTTTGAGTTTATTGTGGCGTATTATTTCTGCTACATCGTATATAATAAAATGTATTAAAATCTTAATAATATATACTACGTAAATCGTTGGATCAAATTTGAAAAATCATCACTTTTTGCCATATTTATTTAATTTTGGGTCATCCTCTTGCAAATTGTGCGCCTCCCTGTATTTTAAATATTATAAGACCTTGACCATTCTTGACTCATTTATTAAAAGTGCGTACCAAATCAACAAATATAATTAATTGCAATAGACCATTTGCAATAAGATCATTGCAATTGCAATGAACTTGAAATAATAAATAATACGCACAATCTTTACCGCACGATCTGTATTTATACATTTAAGGTTAAACACCAAAGAAAAAGTTTTTTGTGTGATTTTTGTTGTTTGTCTCAATTGTGAGAAGCTTCGTGAAAAACATATTGTGCAAAACAAGCAATAAATTAAGTTATACCTATTTATTATTGATTAATTTAATGTTTTAAAATATAACACTTCAATTTAAGAATTATGTCGGGAACATACTTTGAAAACATTCGCTGCATGTTTTTATATTTCGGCTTTAGTTTTAAATATAGTATGTTTTGGATTATTTTGTGCTTAGTAGTCATATTGTATGTTAAGTTTTTGTGGAGAAGAAGAAAACTCTATATTTACTCATGGAAAATCCACGGACCATTTGCGTTACCGATTATTGGTGCAGCACATCACTTTATAGGACTTAGTAGTACTGGTAAGTAAAATGTGTCACAAATAAGTAACTCTTCTTTTTATACTAATTTTAATAACTCAAGATTTACCTACTTGAATTTTTTTTAAACTACTTCAGGCATATTAATGTAAGTTTTTTTTTATTTTTATTTATCCGCATGAATACACAGGTACAGAAAATAAGGTACATGTATTTACAAAGATAATTCATTATATTTATTACAGAGTTTACAGTAATTTAAAAAAGATAGAACTTCCTTGAATTTTGTAACCAGTGCTTCTTTCAGGCTGTTGGGTATCTTGAATATCGCCTTGGCTGAGGTGTACTTCTATTATTATATGGTTCACTGTAAAAGGTGTTTGTCATCTTTGGCATATTGGTAGTGGTTTTTTTGGAGATTTTGTCTTCTTCTTTCTTCTGTCGAAGATTGAAAATTATTCTGGCAATTATAATTTTGTTGGTTACGCGTCTGAATAGTTTAATTGAACTGCATCCAAACCATTCACGGAGATTGCGTAGCCACGAGATTTTACGTCTTCCTACGCTTCTTCTGCCTTTGATTTTACCCTGCATTATATTCCTTAGTAGTTCGTATTTTTCACCTCTCATGATGTGCCCCAAGTATTCCAATTTCCTGATTTTTATGGAATTTAAAACTTCGCATTGTTTTCCTAGTTGTTCGAGAACTTGTTCGTTTGTTTTGCGATCCATCCATGATATTTTCAAAATACGTCGGTAACACCACATTTCGAATGCTTCTAGGTTTTTAATGTTGGATTTTTTAAGTGTCCAAGCTTCAACCCCATACAAAAGGGTAGAGAAAATATAACATCGAAGCATTCTTATCCGGAGCGATATATTGATATCGCGATTACAAAAAAGTTTTCTCATTCTATTAAAAGTTGACCGTGCAATTTCAATGCGGCATCTTATTTCTTTTGTCTGATCAGTATCTTCTGTGATCCATGCTCCAAGGTATTTGTACGAAGATATTTGTTCAATTTCTGTATTATCTAGTACTAGCTTAACTTTGATGTTTTGTGCTTTTGTAAATACCATGAACTTGGTTTTCTTCAAATTTATTTTTAGTCCATAATCGTTGCAATATATATTTAGTTGTTCAGCAAGGTGTTGCAGTTCTTCTAGTGTTCCTGCCAGAAGGACGGTGTCGTCAGCATATCTTATGTTATTAAGTGGCTCACCGTTTATTATAAGGCCCTCACTGATCTCGGCAAGCGCTAATTCTGAGATGGCTTCACTGTATAAATTGAATAACAAGGGTGATAAAATACACCCTTGGCGGACCCCACGGCGAATCTGGATATCCTCGGTCAGTTCATTTTCAACTTTCACTTTTGCTGTTTGGTTCCAATAGAGGTTACATATGATTCTAATGTCTCTACTGTCTATGTTTTTATTTAATAAAATTTCTTTAAGCCGATTATGCTGCACTCTGTCAAATGCCTTCTCAAAATCAATGAAACAGGCATATACTTCCTGATTAATATCTAAGCATCTCTGCGAAAGAACACTTACTGCAAACAGTGCATCTCGTGTTCCCAGTCCTTTCCTAAATCCCATTTGTGTATTACTTATGCCTTCATCTAATTTCTTATGTATTCTATTGTGAATTACTTTTAAAAACAATTTCAAGACATGACTCATTAAGGCTATGGTGCGATGTTCATTGCACTCCTTTGCATTGGCTTTTTTGGGAAGCAGTATGAATGTTGATTGAAGCCATTCTTTAGGTATTATACCTGTTCTATATATGGTATTGAATAGATCCAAAAGAAGATCAATATATTCAGTATTCACAATTTTGAGTAATTCGATAGGAACTTCATCAGGCCCGGGAGATTTACCACCTTTAGCTTGTTTTCATTGCATATTCAAATTCTTTTGGTGCTTCTGTTCTCTCTTTGTCTTCAAAAAGTTGTGCTATATATTGTGTCCATCTCTGCATTTTTTGGTTTATATCTGTTATAAGTGCACCACTTTCATCTCTTAGTTGCCTAGTTTGAAGTGTTTTTCTCATTCCTGTTAATTCTCTAATTCTTTTATGCATGTTAAAAAAGTCATATTTTTTCTCAATTTCTTCTAGTTCTTGGCACTGCTCATGTAACATTCTCTCCATAGCTTCTTTTATTCCTTTTTGATTAATTATATTTAATTGGATTTTTTGTTTTGAATGATTTTCTTTTATTCATTAATAGTAGTATTTCTTCAGTCATTAAGTATTTATGTTTTCTATTCTTTGGTTTTAAGTTTTCATTTGCTGTTTTAATTATTGCTACTTTTATATTTTCCCATTTCTGATCAATGTTATAGCTACTTTTATTCAGTTCTTGGGCATTACGTAGATTTTCAGTAAGAGTTTTTACAGTTTGTTCCTTTGTTTGTGGTTCCCTTAATCTCTTAATATCAATTCTACTTTGTGTGGGTTTTTTAACCAGTTTCAATTTGGTTCTTAATGTGACTACTATGGGGTTATGGTCTGAACCGATGTCTGCTCCAGGGTAAGTTTTGGCAGACAGTATAGAATTACGAAATCTTTGTCTAATGAGGACAAAGTCAATTTGATTTCGGATTATTCTATTCGTTGTATCACCGGGAGATTTCCATGTATACAATCTTCTTTTTGGTAGCTTAAAAAGAGATTATGTAGCCGTGCGTAAGTAGTGTATGCCCAAGCCAAAGTCTGCTGATAATTACCTGGTCTTTTCTTTCAAATAACTACGTACTATATGACGGAATTCTAACTGATCCATCACATTTTCAGCAGAAATTTGATGAAGTTTCCAGGCATTAGTCATAATCATGTCAAGAAAGTACATAAATAAAACCCACCACCACCTTTTACCTTTTATGCTTATTTGATATAATGATATGCACTGGTCATTCGCATCTACTCCACCCATTCCAGAATTATAGGAAGCAAACAATTTTGGCTGTACTATGAAAAGCTAAAGATAATTTAAATATTCTTTAAAAAATCTCAAAGTAAAAATGAGAAGAACATTATTATAATTCTGGACTATTTGTTAACATCATCTATAAATCACAACGAAATGGGAAATTAACCTTGTAATTATTTAATTAAGAAACCGATATGAAATTTGCATTCGATTTGATTATCACGGACCAATATTATACAAAAAGGAGGTCAAGGAAAGCCATTACCTGAATTATCAGAGATTTAAG